TATGCAGTGTATTATTTGTTGAAACTGTACTTTCGATTTGATTTGAAACTGTCTCATTGCTATATGTTTATCAATAAAACTTTGAAAAGAAAAAAATTTATTTTTTATTTGATACAGGGTCTCACTACATAGTTCAAACTCAGTGACCCTCCTGTCTCAGCCTCCCCAGTGCTGGGATTACAGGCGCGTACCACCACGTCTGGTTTCAAGGCCAGCACGGCATGCTGCATAGGGATCAAACTTGGGTCCTTGTGCAGGTGCTTAGGCCACTGAGCTATCTCCCCAGCACGCTCCTCCTCTTTTTGTCCATCAGTTTAGATGTCTGTGTGTGTGTCTCTCTCTTCCTGTCAATTTTTAAAGCCAGCCACTTTTAAAGGTGCCTGCTCCCCCATAAACTCTGCTAGTAGGAATGAAAAACTATTTGCCAATTTCCCAAAATATCAAACACAAAGTCACCATAGGATCCAGCAATTTCATTCCTGAAAAATAAAAACATACTCCATCCAAAAACTTGAAACTTGTATGTGAATGTTCATACTATTTTGCTATACATTTGCCACAATTGCCAACAGGAGAAGCAACACAAATGTCCATCAGCAGATAAACAGGTAAATCAAATGTAGCACACAGATATTGGGGAATGTTATTTGCCCATATGAAGGAATGAAGTACTGATTCAAAAATATTATACTAAATGAATCAGTCAAAAATATCATAAATTAAGGGCCAGCCAGATAGCTCAGCAGACTAAAGTGCATGCTTAGGCAGAGTACAGCAGCAGGGTTTGATCCCCGCCATGCTGTGCTGGCCCCAAGACAGCCATTGAGACTGGGCATGGTGGTGTGTGTGTGCCTATAATCCCAGCACTTGGGAGGCTGAACACAGGCAGATCACTATGAGTCCACAGGTGGATCTATGTAGTGAGAACCTGTAGAGTCTGTACTACATACATTAAAAAAAATAATAAATTAAATTATTTTTGTAAGAAATGTCCAGAAAAAGCAAATCTATAAATAAGAAGACTAATTATTACCTATGGGCGATGAATGAGGAAATGGGAGCTACTTGGGCACGAGTTTTCTTTAAGGAGTGACAAAAATGTTCTGGAATTAGACGAGGAGGGTTCTATAATCTTGTGAAAATATGAAAACTACTGAATTATACACTTTAGTAGATGATATGGTATATGAATTATCTCAGAGAGATCTAAATCCATGAAGATGTTATACAGTCTTCACGAATCAAAAGACTCAATATTAAGGTGATGATTCTCTTTTTTTTTTTTTGGGTGTGCGTAATTAATTTTATTGAGAAAGAAACAGCAGTGAGACTTTCAAAACAGGTCAGTAGGACAGTTACAATAATTAATACTTTGCTTATTGTTTTCATAGTAGTTATTCATAGTACAAGATGTAGACATGGTATCTTGTCTAAACACTATTAGTAGAAATTTTTCTTCTCATTGAACTAAGAGAAAGTGGCTGTATATCTAACCTAACTAATTTGTATATACAGATATATATATATTTTTTTCACTACAAAATGGTCCTTCATTTATATCCCCCTTTTTTGTTTACCTTTGTCCTTCATTTATATCCCCCATATAAATGGGTATTCCATTGCCATTCAAATATTGTAGGTATGTGAATCCAGCAAAATAATTCAATATAGCCCAGTAGACCATAATAGTAGTGGGTTATCTGTACCTCAACAACTTCTGACACTGCCAGTCCTGCAGATAACTCCCTAGTTTGATCTATAAACTTCATACAATTCCATTCCCAGCAGGTTCCCCTAAAAATTGACAGGCTGATTCCAAAATTAATAGGGACCTATAAGATTAAAATGGCAAAATAAATAAGAGGAAGAAGACTTTCACAAAATCCAGTAAAAGTTAGTGTATTTAAGTATTTAGCTTTAAGAACAGTAATTGAGATATATCACACTGACCTAAAGAAAGATACATGGGCCAGGGAGATGGCTCAGTAGAATAAGTGCTTGCCTGGCAAGTGCGGGGTCTTGAGTTCAATCCCCAGTACCACAAAAAGAAAGAAAGAAAGAAAGAAAGAAAGAAAGAAAGAAAGAAAGAAAGAAACAGATTAATGGAACACAACACACAGCTCAAGAAACAAGGTCATACATGTATTAACAATTCATTTTTAATAAAGGCATCAACATGATTAAATGGCAGGGGCCAGGGAGATGACTTAGTGGAATAAGTGCTTCCCTGTCAAGCTCAAGGGCCTGAGTTCAATTCCCGGTTCCACCAAAAAAAAGAGATGATTAAATGGCAAAAGGATTTCAACAATGTTAGAATAACTAAATAAAGGGTGAGGGGTATAGGCCAATGGTACAGCCCTCACCTAACTTGCATAAGCCCCGTGGGTTTGATCCTTAACACCACAAACAAAACAAAACCTCAACTCTACCTTACTTTAATCACAAAAATTAACTTGAAATCAATGTTAGACCTAAATAGAAAAGCTAAAACTACAGAACTTGGAAAACAAAAGAAAATCTTCACATCTGAAGTGAGGCAAAGATTTCCTAGACAGCATCTTTTTTTAAAAAAAGCATTTATCATACAAGAAAGTACCAGTTAACCAGACTTCATCAAAATTGAAAAGCTTCTACTCATTTAAAGATACTATGAATAGAGAAGTGAAAATGCAAGCCATTCACAGGAAGAAAATACTTACGATAAATACTATCTGCTAAAGGTTTTATATCCAAAGTTCATTTTAAAAAGTCTCAGAACTCAGTAATAAGAATTCAATTTTAAATGTATAATTTGAATAGATATTTCACACACACAAAACAGAAACGATTTGTAATTTTGGAAAAAGATGCTCAGCATTACTAACTATTGGGAAAATGCCAACCCCTTTTCATTAAGATAGCTAAAATAAGAAAGAATGGCAATATCAGAGGGCTGGTGAACAAGTTCGAAGTCTAATGCACTGTAGGGAGGAGTGTTTAACTGTATACCAATTCACAGGAAGACTAGCAATTTTGAATAAGGTTCAACACAAATTTACCATATGATCTATCAATTCCATGACAAATTATTTAACTGAAAGAAATTTTATTTTAAATTTAGACATGAATTTCAAAATAGTTTTCTTAATGAGACAAGAAAAAATTCAAAACAATCCATTGGTCCTGTACCTGGAAAATGGACAAGTAAATTGTGATCTACTTATATGAAGGCATACTACCCAGTTATAAAAAGGACACAAACTTCTGATACAAATGGGAAAAATTTTAAAACATCTGATTCAGTGAAAGAAGCCAGATTTAGAGGATACTTTTTTATGATTTCATTTATATTAAGTTACAGAAACACAAAACTAATCTATAGTGCTAAAACACAGATCAGTAGTTGCTTAGAATGGTAGATAATATGAAACTGACTGGGAAGAGGCATTAGGAAGTTTATAAGTTGGTAAAGTTGTTGGGGATGCTTTTGTTTTTCTTTTTCTTTCTTTTTTTTTTTTTTTTTTTTTTTTTGTTTTTGAGATAATGTTTCTTTCTGTAGCTCAGGCTGGCCTCAAACTCATATTGGTCCTTCTACCTTAGCCTCCCGAGTGCTGGAATTATAGGCATGTGCCACCATACCCAGCTTGCTTTGTACCTTAAACACTTCAGGTGGTTATACAATTGCAGTTTTCTCAAAAGCTGTTAAACTATATATTTGAAATGGGTTCACTTTTCTGTACAGAGATTATTCTTTAATAGAACTGATTAAAAAGAAAAAATATAGTCCTTGTGAAGAAGCCAAATATGATTATAGCAATGTTAATAAGACAGGGTTGCTGGGCATGGTGGTCCACACTTGTAATCTCATCATTTGGGAGGTTGAGGCAGGAGGATCATTGTGAGTTCAAAGCCGGCTTGGGCTACAAAGTTGAGTTCAAGGTAGGCCTGAACTGTATAGCGAGCCCTTGTCTCAAAAAAGAATGGAGGAGGAGGAAGAGAAAGGAAGGATGAGGAGAAGGAGGAAAAGGAAGGGGAGAAGAAGAATATGATGACAACGATGACGACAGGGTGAATCAAGTGAAAGATAAAAGCCAAAGAGTAGAAGTCAGAAAAATAGTATTTTAAGAAAGAAGACTGGATCATTGTCTTTCTTTTCTCTACAGGGAAGTTTCAGTAACTTGTAAGGTAATTATAAGGTGACACAAGAGTACTAAAGTTCATTAGTTAACTTCATATGCTCACTAGATTTTGAAACCTCAGAAAACATTCATTTTCTAAGGTGACTACTGACATTTCTATACCCTTATGAAAAATATTTAGCAAGAGACAAGCAGACCGTGAAACTGTTTCCTATCTATTACCTTAGCATGAAATGTTTCATAGACCAATGTTATCAATCCTAAGTGATTTGGGCAAGAAATTTTGATGCAAAGTGAAGACAGAAATCAACTCCTTTCTGATAATACCAGGCACAGTGGCCCATGACTGTAATGCCAGCACCCTTAAAGGCTAAGATAGGAGGATTCCCAGTTTGAACCATGCCTAAACTTTAAGAGATCTGGCCTCAAAATTAAAAAAAAAAAAAAAAAAAAAAAAAAAATTAAAAGGGGTGGGGAGGTAGTTCATTATAAAAGAGAAAAAGAGAAGAAAAGAAAGAAAAAAAGAAAGACAGATATATGGGAACAAGGTGACCAGATAACCCTCACCTCTTCCACAAGAGACCAGTACTTGCTGTTACTGCAGATGCTCCCAGGAAGGCCACCACCATCAGTCTTCTCCTGGTCTGGACAGGCTGTGACACTCCATGGTACCATCGAGAACCCACAGCAAGTTCTGCCAATGCAGAAAGTGAGTTAAGACGAAACATCCTATGGACAAAAAGGAGAAATGTGTCACTCCTGGCTAGTGGCTGCAGCGGCACTGATGATTCTATAAACATCACCAGTAAACATTGAGTAAACATTACACTATGGCAGCACTATTCTAAACACTTTGCATGCATTATCCTGTTTAATCCTCAGGATACTCTGTAGAAATGTACTGCTATATATCAAAGAAAAATTACAAGACAGAAACTACGTGATAATTTCAAAATTCAAGTTTAATATGAAACATTACTAATTACAACAGGAGATTAACTATTCAGAAATAGGGATAGCAGGTAGAAGCAGTAGTCCCTACTCGTAGGGCTGACACAGAACATCAAGAATGAATCACATTTTTAAAATGGGCACTGTGGGCTGGAGAGATAGCTCGGTGATCTAAGCGCCTGCCTGGCAAGTGCAAAGACCCAAGTTTGATTCCTGGTACTGCATGCCATGCAGGCTCTGGGGCCCTGGGTACAACGTGCTGGTCCCAAAACTGGGCATGGTGGCGCATGCCTATAATCTCAGCGCTGGGGAGGCTGAGACCAGAGGATCACTACAGGTCTGAATTGCATAGTGAGAGCCAGAATACAGCTCAGCGGTGTAAGTGCCTGCCTCACAAGCGCAAGATCCCAAGTTCAATCACTGATACCATAAAACAAATGAACAAACTGCACATCAAGACCCTGTATCAAAAGAATTAAAAAAAAAAAAACCAACAACCATAAAATGGTCACTCATACCAGGGCTCAGACCTAGATCTTGTGGCAAGGGCACAATCATGGCAGTTTGAGAAATTTACACCAAGAGAGTCCACTAGAAAGTCACTTTCTCAGAAGCTGGACCAAGTTATCTAGTGGGAGAGTTCATGCCAAAAGAATTTGCTAAGCAGGCAGGCTTTGAGGTACCAAGAAAAGCCACCATGGGGAGGTGCCAAAGTAGCTAATTCCTTGGGAAACTGCAGTGAAAGTGTTGCTACTAAAACTACTCAGGGGTTGAGAATCACTGAATGTGTACACTAATCCTTGCCTGCTAAAGAACCAAGCAGCAAAGAGCACACACGAATCAAAAAGACAAAGCCCTTCCTCTTCCACTGTCCCTCTGTACCTACACTAACAAAGTGAAGCAATAAGTGGCAAGGGGGAAATTCCCAGGATCACAAACAGAGCAAGGAAAGCTCTAGAGCCGAAAAGAAATGGTTGACAAGCAGCACCTTCATTTTACAGATGTAAATCATGACTCACTCAAAAGTGTGCGGCTTTGGAAATGATGGATTGCTCCAGAATTCAAACCTGGAATAGACTGACTCCAGAGTCCAGGTTTTTACACAGAAGGCTTGGCTAGCTGCTTTTTAACTAGAAGATTTTACTAAGGGAACCTACCTTATAGAACTGACATTAGCTTTGTTAACGTAGTAATTTAAGGCTTTTTGTTTGATTTTTATGGTACTGAAGATTCAATCCAGAATCTTGCCCTGAGCCCTTCTCTGATTTTTATGAAAAAAAAAAAAAA